CTAGTAACTTTTAAAAAAATTTTAACCTTACAAACTTTTTTCTTTTTTTTTTTTTTTTTTTTTCTAGATATAGCTTCTCGTTATCCTACCTTATGGACTGAGCAAGTAAAGAGTAGACAAAACAAAACCAATAAAAGCTCAGGTAAGAACTTGTGTTGTCCTTACTTTGCAAAGCTCCTGTGAGGACATGCATTAAGCCTTGTTAAAACTGAAGCCATTTAAGTGAAATCCATTTTAATAACCATTATGCTTCCACTCTCATCATATGATAGTGACTTAATGATTTGCATTGTGATGATTTTGTAGGCTCATGCATCATACGTTCCTTTTATATGGAAATATTTTTGGCCAGGCTTTACTAGGTGTAAATTGACATTACTCCACTAAAGTCTCTGGCTCACATGTGTTTGCAACTGTGAGTGGATCTGACAGTTATTTTTTGCATCCTCTTTAATTCTCTGCCTCTTTGTTATCTACTTGTATTTTCTTTTTTTTTGGTGATGTCTAGCAAGAAGGTGCTTGGAAAATGACAATGTGGGTTATATGTGTTTGGTGGTAAATCTTAGGAGGCAAACCTGAAAAGAAGCAAACTCCCATCAGAAACCAGCTGTCAGTTAACAGGAAATTGGAAAGACAGTGTTACCTGCTTTTTGCTACATCACTCGTCTGCTATTTACAGACCGATAGCCAGTTTAGAGTGAATTAATTACGTTGCCTTTTTTATAATTGCTGAATTTTGTCTGTACTTTTTTCACCACTCTTCAGAATGGAGCTTTGTAAACCTGGACTGGGAATGTCAGGTGAATGTCCTAAGACAGAAGCCTCTAAAATATTCAGATACATTCAATGCTTTGGTGGACTATAAGTTTTGATGCCTGCCTCCCTGTTCCTTCCTTTCAGTGGAATAAACTTTAGAGAATCTTCTTGAGTTTCCTGTTTTCTTTTTCTCCAGAAAAATGTTTCATTTGAAAGCAAACATTAATGATACAGACTATGACTCAGTAAATCACCCAAAAGCACACTTCAGATCCAGTGGAAATTGAGGTTGTGCTTTACATTAAGTACTGTGCTTAAGTTTTTTACTGAATTGAGGTCCAAAAGGATTTAAAAAGACAAGCAATAACCATAAGACAGACAGACATATCCTTACTAAGAGGTTTACAGATTCCTTTATATAAGCTATTTTTAACATCAAAGCAATAATTATTAATACTTTTTCCTCTTCTTGATCCTCCAGTAGGCACTTAAGGAAAGGACCTTAAACAGAATGTAGACAAGAGTTTGAAGCAAACACTTTCCGTGCTGGAGATTTATTCTGTCATTTGTTTAGTCAGTGTTAGCAAGAACAGAATTCTTTTGGGATTTCTGTTGTGTAAAATACATGTATAGAAATATGTCAGTTTCAGGAGTGTTTAATTTTTACAGTGCTAGAGAGTAGATCTAAAACAAGAATTCCTGAGTTTGCAGTGCAGCTGCTAGAAGCCAAAGCTTCAACACACACATGAAAAAATTAGAAAAACACCAAAGAAAAGGTGGGCTTATTACTGGGAACTTGTAACCTCCTGTCCATCTAAAGACATATTTACAAAGGAAGAGAAACCAGAAGCGCAGTCTACCTGTCTCATGATTGCTAGCCCATGGTACATTAGCATCAAAAGCATGATTGTGTTGTGTTTGCTAACAACAGGACTTGCTCACAACTGTACTATATACAGGGGATCTCTGGAGGGCTAGCACATGCTACAGTCAGTGGTGCCATACCCAGACTAGCAGAAGTAAGTCAGCAGACACTACATAGCTAGCTTTGCTTTAGTTTGTAGGCATATCTGATGTGCCAGAAGGGACCACTGCTCTCTCTGCTGTAACTTCTCTTGTTTATGTAATATGACATAATCAATCAGGATAAATCTAGGTGCTAAAAACAGTGTCTTCACCAGTTGTGCCAGGCAGTATCTCTCTTCCAGACTTCAAAAATATAATGTGTGTCAGTGACCATATATTTATAAGTTGTTTTGATGGCTGAGCCTCACTGATATTCAGTAAACAAATCTTTTAAGTTCTTGAATAAACTAGGTTCGATTTTCCCCTTATTACCTCTCAGAGTGGTGCCCAGGCTTTTGGGAACATCCACACAGAATGAACTCTGGGCTGCTACGTGTATGGAATAGGAAGGGTTCATGACTGAATTTATGACTGAATCCACTGGATTGTAACCTAACCACCTTTGGACACCCAGGCTTCAATATAAGGGATAAATACAGATGTTGTCTTTACTCAGTTTGTTTAGCAAACTCTGATTCAGACTTGGTCATACAAACACCAGAAGGCATATTGAAATGTATTTATCTGAGTAAAATGAGGAGAATTTATGTCTGCATACAAACTGTGTTTATAAAACAAAAGATGAGACCCAGTTTATTGATAATGGGCTAAACTTTCCTTTGTTTGTGCTTTCAAAGAAATTCAAAGAAATTCTTCAGGTGCAAACAACAGTATGAACTAGCCCTGCCTGTAGAAAATAACTAAAGAAAAATAATAATGCTAAAAATTTCAGGCAAACTCCAAGTATCCTACTTAGAAGCTGACTGTTTTAGTCAGTATTGCTTTTATTTTTTCTAGTTTTTACCTGAATATATGTCCTAATATGTCATGGCCAACAAGTCATGGTCATAAAGAAACTTGTCTTGACCTGAGAAATCAGTGTCCTTAGGAGAATGTTTTTGTGAGTTTAGGGATCACAAATGAATACATTAAATTTATTGTACTCATCCTGATTCTAGTTATTATTAGTTGTCCAGTGCTTTCATTTGATTAAATCAGCATAAATTAATTTAGCACAAAGTAATGGCATTTGGGAGACTTACAGATGCAGGGCATGAAATTACTGGATTACATATCCATGCTCTATAATGACTTCTAGTGCATATTCTTTTGGCTGGTTCGGAGAAATAAGCCTTTGCTGCTCACTAAAGGCATTTGTAGAGTGGTATTTAACCTATTAGCTTTGATGACAAAATATTACTTCTGGCCAATACCCCATCAACATAGGGTCATGTAACAATAGCTCTGTGTAAAGTGGTGGATTTGGGTAGAAACATCTCCATTTTAGTTCTTTTTGTATGTTGAAGATGATTTTCAAAATTTTTAAAAGACTTTTTCTTTCCAGAATTAGAAAAAAAGTATGCATCTAGTTGCTAAAATAACGTAGTGTTTGCTAAGATTGTTTTATACATACGCCTTGGTGCCTTTGCAGGTATTTTGCGCATTTTTTGTTTCTTCTGGATTTCTTTTTACACACTCCTCATTTCTTCCTCCTTTTCACAGAAAATATTGTGGGTTTGCCACATCAGGTGGACAAAAATAAGCATTATAGCAACAGCTATCAAAAATGAACAGAAATGCATTGAAAACACTGAACATGGGACTATATGGGTTCTGATTAAGACATCAAAATGTAGCAGCCTACACGCTGCTGTCCGTATGTGAACTCTGGCTCAGCTCTTGCTGTTGTTTGTGGAGATGCAGTCAGTGCTGTCAGTGGATCCTAGAGAGCAGCCCACCTCATCGTAAAGCTGACACCTGCACTTGGCCAGCTAACTAGATTAATACTATAGATACTATACTAGATAGAACTCACTGAGTGCGGTGACTAGTTAGATCTCTAGCCTATAGGAAGATATTTATGCTTTAGATTAACTTTATCCCACCCCAGCATCAGTTTAAAATCCTTGTGGTATTCTTTTAGAGCATTTGTATTTTGTAAAGACCAGAGGACAGAAGGTTTTTTGCCTTGAAGAAACGATATTTTGGACTATGTCCTCACCAGTTGCCAGTTACTGTAGCTTCAGGGCTAGGTGCAACCTTGTTGTGGGTGGAGAACACTACATGACAGTGCAGATACTTTCTCATCACCTAACGGGGAAAATGCTGTTCCCCGAGGAGAGCTCAGGTTGGACTGTAGATCTCTTAGGTTCTTCTTGCTACATCTGCTCTAACATCAGTTTATATCCCTGTGGGATTCTTGGGAACCAAGTGTGACATTTTTCAGAGGGTGTATGCCCTTTTTTGAGTTTGACTATAGGCAAAGGAAGGGTAGTTTAATCTTATTCACAATGGCCAGTGAAGCTTAGGATTAATTTCTAATAGTTTGTTGTGGGAGCACTTCCAAGAAAAACAGAGTGAGTTTAACTGATAATATTATTAATGTTCAAAAAAATTCTTAAAGTACTAAGTAATTTCTAAGTACAATCTGTGCACCACACAAATGAGAATAAATAATACTCAGTATAAAATTTCATTAATTTTGCAAAGGCAGGATGCAAAAAGTAATCCATAATCTGGAATATGCTTACATATGTGCTTAAGGTCTTTAGAGATTCTGGTGATAATATAATTCAAGTTAAAAGAGCCAGAGTTAAATAGCGTATCGTTGTCTAAGACACAGTACAGTTTCACGTATTTACTATTCAGTTCTATTCTCTTATTATTAATACTTTTGTATTCTGCTTCCTTAAAGATTGAATAGTATGGCATTGTTAACACTAATGATTTATATGTTCATTGATCAGTTATGTAGTTTATTTAATGAGCATTGTAAAGTGATTGGTGTTTGTTTTGTTGATAATCCAGTATGACCAGCAAAATAGAAGACAGGAAGAAATTGTCGCATTTCTTTGTACTTTACTGAACTTGACTTTGATTCATGTGTTAAATGTTAAACACATGAAATGAGTGGGTAGAAATTTAGGGCCCCTGGCAGTCAATAGCAGAACTCCCAGACAGCGGTTGAACAACCATTCATACTTTGACTACATGCTACTAGTTCGCCCAGTAGTTTACATTTCATCTGGATCAGGCACAGACACGTGACGCAGTGCTTGTGCCAGCTTCATGCTTTCTGCCAGCTTTATGCTTATGTGCTCTAAGCAGGTGCTAGAGGACAAGCCATACATGATCCAGCATAAAATAGGGTCGGCCCAGAGGAAACCCTGTTCTGGCATAAAGCCTGCTGAGGCAAGGTCAGGCTGTCAAAATTCTTGACACATCTATGCAAAAGGTAGTGGATCATACGATTATGACATTTTTCATCCAGAACAAAGAATCCTAAATCAGAATTCATTGCCTTCTCAAACTATGGCTTTA